TAAATTATTTTTGTTTGGTTTTTAAAAAATATGTTTTAAACATATGTTTTTTTGTTTTTTTTTCAGGTTTACTATTCGATTTTTGGTTTTTGTCTTTGTTTTTGAGTAATTAAAATTATGTTGTATTTTGAATTAATTTTTGGATTCAAATTGTGTGATGTTATTTTTATTTGTGTGTTTTTTGTTGTTTTTTTTGCTGTAGGGGATAGGGTTTTTTGTGTTATTTTTTTGTTTTCCGAGCGGTCGTCCCCTTTTTTGTAAAGTGTCAATCCCAACCCTTTCACACGAAATCCAAAAATTCTAGTAAAATTACGATTTTAAGTATCGGCCGAAATCTTGTCGTACGAAATAAGGCTCGATCGCCAAAACTATATATAATAAAATTGCGATCTTGAAATATCGCAATAAACGTCAAAAAATGCGGGAAAATGGTATTTCTGTGTGTAAAAGTGTCTGTGTGTAAAAGGTTCTGTGTAAAAATATTTCTATGTATAAAAGTGTCTGTGTACAAAAATTTGTGTGTATAAAAGCGTCTGTATGTAAAAAGCTTCCGTGTCTAGGCCATAACAGGATCCAATTCACTTTAGTATGTTTTTCTCAGGGTTCATAATTTATAATAATTACAGTAATTTTTTCCAAAGCTGATCCTGGAGCCAAGAAAAGAAAGGTAAGCTTCTTCCCAAAGCAATCGCCGAATTCAAAGCAATCGCCGAATTCAAAGCTCAAGCCTTTCCCCAAAGAATCAGACCGCTTATTAAACCCTAGTTAATGAACATTTTTTACACAAATTTCCAAGGCACTGGGCCATGAGAGGGTCCAATTCACTTAGTAGGTTTGTTTTCAGGGTGCACAATTGCAGTGCACTTTTCCAGAGCTGATCCTGGGGCCGAGAGAAGAAAGGTAGGCCTCTTCCAGAAGCAATTGCCAAATTCAAAGCCCAAGCCTTTCCCAAAAGAACCAGACCGCTTATTAAACCCTGGCTATTGAAAAGCGGAGAAATACGAAAGCAGAGAAGCAAGAAAAGCAGAGAAGCAAAGAAACAGGAAAAGCAGAAAAGCAGAGAAGCAGGAGAAGCAGAAAAGCAAAAAAAGCAGAAAAGCAGGAGAAGCAGAAAAGCAGCGAAGCAGGAAAAGCAGGAACAGCAGAGAAGCAGGCATCCAAAAGAAAAATCCTAAACCTGATCAAAACAAAAATCCTAAAATAATGTTTCAAAAATAGGAAACCTATAGGAGAGGTTGGTTGTTGCGAGTCACGGATGACAGAGCGAAATCATTGGTGGACCGACAGGTGGTTGAGGTCGCCTCTCTTTCTCCCTTTCTTTCTCTCTTTCTCTGATTATCTATCTGTCTATCTGTCTATCTGTCTCTCTGTCTCTCTCTCTCTCTCTCTCTCTCAGCTCTGTCTATCTGTCTGTCTGTCTATCTATCTGCAAGCTTGAAAACGAAGCTATTCTGCGAGGCTTCCTCAATTTTTTGAACTTAACAACGTCAAAAACGAAACAATTCTGCGAGACTTCCTCAATTTTTGAACTTAACAACGTCAAAAACGAAACATTTCTGCGAGACTTCTTCAGTTTTGAACTTGACAACATCAAAAACAAAGCAAGTCTACGAGACTTCCTTCAAAAATGGAAAGTTGAGTGCAGCGCTGACAGCCTCGTACCAATCCGTTTTGCAATTTTTTCACTCCACCTGTCTAGAGTCTAAAGTACTGCGCCTGCCACGAAAAATTGATGCCAGGTCATACGAAGTGCTGCACCTGTCACAAATAATCATCTTAGCAAACCTGCAGATCTGATGCTCCAAAATGCAACCCCTCTCAGGAAATCAGCGCCCTCACCTCCTAACAGCTCCAATGTCTCCCGTACTGCGCCCGCCACGGAAAATGCATCTTTGCAGATCCTCTTCGAATGTCCCACGCCTGCGATCGTTTTGGAAGTGCTACAAAAGTTTTGCTCACTTTTGACAAGGTGCACAATCCCTTGAGCCTGCCTCGCGAAGCGATCCAAAAGTGGGTCCGTACATGGTGTGTTTTGTACATTTTGACTTCGAAATGTGCTTCGCGCCACAACGGCGTGCATTTTTTCGACATCTCAACTTCCAAAAGTGATCCGAGAATGGTGTGCTTTGTACATTTTGACTTGGAAACGTGCTTCGCGCCACAACGGCGTGCAATTTTTCATCTTTCCAGCTGGCTCCGCACCCGCCGCTTTAGCGAGCCTACTTTTCGACTCTCCGGAGCCACAAATCATTGGAAAAACACAGTGTTTCGCGACTTTCCTACCTTTTCGCACACCTGCATCTTCTTTCTTCTGACTCTTTCTCTTCTCTGATCTTCTCTCTTCTCCTCTTCTCTTCTCTCTGACTCTGCCCATCTCTGCTTGTCATCTATCCATATTGTCGGAAGTTTGACTTCTAAACGACTTCTAAACTTCCTTCGATTATTTATTGAGGGTTAATAGGAAGAAGGGATTATACATGTTTATATTTATTTATTCAGATATTATTTGTGAACGGATCTTGTCTCGTCAGAAATCGTGCCTTCATTTTCGTCACATGTTGTCATATTTTCTCTGCCATGGTTTGTTCCACATGATGTTCTCCGCACGTCGTGGGCCGCCGCAACCAAGCGCATAATACCACTCGCAGTACACGTCGTACTTGTTCGGGCCAACTTTGCAGGGCGAAGCCTTCTGGGGATAGGCACACCCACGCGAGGGCCTTACAGGACAACTGCTGCCCCAGGGATTTTCGTAGACCTTGTCCCCAACAGGCCTGTAGCAGCAGCATTTTTTTCCAAAAGTCACGTTGGAATCAGATTCCAAGAGATCTGCACTGAGGTCTGCATTGTGCACTTCATGCGCATGATCTGCTCGAAGGCAGTAGCCAGACTGCATCAATGTCATGACCAGAAAGGCTCTGCGAATCGCCATCAGGGTCTGTTCAACCGGAAGGTTTTGCAGAAGAACGGGCGTCTGCTTTCAACTTGAGGAAAGGCGGCTCATGAACCAGCGGAAAATCTGCCTGTCTGTGTGACTTATGTGTGGGACACGTTTCATGCTAGCGCTGAGCTCAGCATGATGGTACAGACCGCAACTCCAGACTCGTCAACTCTTTTCTTCCGAGGCTCTCATCGCAGAGTTTGTCTTTGCGGATATCCCGTTCTTCAGATCCCCTCCTCTCTTCCACTTTTCATGGTGTCCGTTTCCCATAGTGTTTTGTCGGGTTGTTTCTCTGTTTGTTGGGTCTGCGTGGCTTGCCCCACAGAGCCAAGTGCAAAGAAAGCTATGGACACGATACATATCGAAACATCAAAGTATGGCAAACCACTACAAAGACACTCAATGGGGAAAAAGCACCCTCCAATTCCGATCGGAACATCTCTAAATTCGACCATTTGGATCCATTTAAATTTGGACACTACAAAAAAGGAGTCGGGATTTCCATGGATCTGAGGCATCTCTTGCTCACTCTGTCACGACTTGCATGACTGAGTCAATGTCCCACCTTGGTCACTGGGCTGGAAAGTAGGAAATCGATGGACATAGACGGAAATAGATGGAAATAGAAGGAAGTAGATGGACATAGATGAACATAGATGGAAATATATAGATGGAAATAGAAGGAAGTAGATGTACATAGATGGACATAGATGGAAATAGAAGGAAGTAGATGGACATAGATGGACATAGACGGAAATAGAAGGAAGTAGATGGACATAGATGGACATAGATGGAAATATATAGATGGAAATAGAAGGAAGTATAGATGTACATAGATGGACATAGATGGAAGTAGATGGAAATGGATGGAAATGGATGTAAACGAATGGAAATAGATGAAAACAGATGGAAATAGATGTAAATCGATGGGAGCCGATAGAAATGGATGGAAATATGGAAATAGATGGAAATGGAAATCGACTCGCTTCAATGAATCACAAGCAGCCTTGGACAGTCTTGGGCTGCACCATCAGCACCTCACGGCCACTTAGCCTCTCACTCACCATAGTACGTTTTCTTCTTTCCTTTGCGATATCTTCTCACGAAGGGAAGATTAGCAACCTGCACTAGGACATCATCCGGTAACACAGCTGCAAACTCGCATCATGAAGATCAAGCATCACAATTCAATCATAATTACAATAACACCATGATCAATGTAAGATATAACTTAACTCACGCCCTAGCCGTAGACGATAAAGGTGCTTCTAGGCGCGTCCAGAACATGTTTTAGATGGTTTTGGTCGGGCTGCTCTGGCACACGAATTGACACCATTTCCCGATGGAAATTGTTGTTTACTCTTACAATATCTTACAATTGGAGTATATTGGAATCCATGGTCGAAATCATGGAAACCATCACCTTGCCATGACATAGTCTCCCACCTTTTCGCGTTTGCAAAGATCGGCCTTGCAGCGTCAATGGCAACACACTGTCATCACCAAATCTGAGCCTGACTCAAGCAAACTGCCAAAGCACATCAGTGACTTGCAAATGCTTTTATGTTGTATCCTGATTAGTGGCTAGGTTCGCTATTGTGCCAAAAAAAACAAATTATTCAGGGCTCCGACAATTTTTGGAAGGTTCACTGTTGTGGCAAGAAATCTTGGGAGACCATTTTTTTGAACAAAATGTTTGAGTGAAAAAACATTGCATTTTTCCCCAGATAGCTGGCAAGCTATAGGGGTTCTTACTTGCATTTTTCCCCAGATAGCTGGCAAGCTATAGGGGTTCTTACTTCTCAAAGGTGGGGTCTTCGGTGGCGAACTTTTGAGCAGGGTGCTGTGCAGGGTGCTGTGCAGGGTGCTGTGCAGGGTGCAGTCCAGACTGCGGTGGCGATGTCTGGCAAAGGTGCTGTGCAGGGTGCTGTGGAGGGTGCTGTCCAGACTGCGGTGGCGAAGTCTGGCGAAGGTGCTGTGCAGGGTGCTGTGCAGGGTGCTGTCTAGGCTGCGGTGGCGAAGTCTGGCAAAGGTGCTGTGCAGGGTGCTGTCCAGACGCGAAGTTTGGCAAAGGTGCTGTGCAGGGTGCTCTGCAGGGTGTTGTTCAGAGTGCGGTGGCGAAGTCTGGCAAAGGTGCTGTGCAGGGTGCTGTGCAGGGTGCTGTGCAGGGTGCTGTGCAGGGTGCTGTGCAGGGTGTTGTACTAGTGCGGTGGCGAAGTCTGGCAAAGGTGCTGTGCAGGGTGCTTTGCAGGGTGCTGTGCAGGGTGCTGTCCAGACTGCGGTGGCGATGTCTGGCAAAGGTGCTGTGCAGGGTGCTGTGCAGGGTGCTGTGCAGAGTGCTGTTCAGACTGCCGTGGCGAAGTCTGGCAAAGGTGCTGTGCAGGGTGCTGTGCAGGGTGCTGTGCAGGGTGCTGTGCAGGGTGCTGTCTAGACTGCGGTGGCGAAGTCTGGCAAAGGTGCTGTGCAGGGTGCTGTCCAGACTGCGGTGGCGAAGTCTGGCCAAGGTGCTGTGCAGGGTGCTGTGCAGGGTGCTGTGCAGGGTGTTGTCCAGACTGCGGTGGCGAAGTCTGGCAAAGGTCCTGTGCAGGGTGCTGTGCAGGGTGCTCTGCAGGGTGCTCTGCAGGGTGTTGTCCAGACTGCGGTGGCGATGTCTGGCAAAGGTGCTGTGCAGGGTGCTTTGCAGGGTGCTGTCCAGGCTGCGGTGGCGAAGTCTGGCAAAGGGAAGGCGCTGTTCAGGGTGCTGTGCAGGGTGCTGTGCAGGGTGTTGTACTAGTGCGGTGGCGAAGTCTGGCAAAGGTGCTGTGCAGGGTGCTGTCCAGATTGCGGTGCCGAAGTCTGGCAAAGGTGCTGTGCAGGGTGCTGTGCAGGGTGCTGTTCAGACTGCAGTGGCGAAGTCTGGCCAAGGTGCTGTGCAGGGTGACTGCAGTGGCGAAGTCTGGCAAAAGTCCTGTGCAGGGTGCTGTGCAGGGTGCTGTGCAGGGTGCTGTGCAGGGTGCTGTCCAGACTGCGGTGGCGAAGTCTGGCCAAGGTGCTGTGCAGGGTGCTGTGCAGGGTGCTGTCCAGATTGCGGTGCCGAAGTCTGGCAAAGGTGCTGTGCAGGGTGCTGTGCAGGGTGCTGTGCAGGGTGCTGTGCAGGGTGCTGTGCAGGGTGCTGTGCAGGGTCTGAGCCAAGGCGCTTTTTCGTTGCCGCATATCATTTTGACATGCGCATTTTTCGTGCAAAAACATTTTTATGCCGGCCCATCAGCCAAACGCAAACATTCCGCTACCGGTCCATTAAGCAAAACAAAAGGTTCTGTTACCGGCTCAGTAAACAAAACAAAACAACATTAAGAACCATGAGTTCGAACTTTTTGGAATCAACAGATCCTTCCACTGGTAACGTATGCTTTTTCAGGTTTGGAACCATGAGTTTCAAGCTTTCGGAACCCGCAGTTCCTTACAATGATAGCCGCTTAGCTTCGAAAACATAAATTCTAACTTCTGGGAACCGGCAATTCGTTGCAATGGTAACCTCTGGTTCCCAAGTTGGGAACCGTAAGTTTCAACGTCTGGGAACCGGCAGTTCCTTGCCATGGTAACCTTTGGTTCCCACGTTGGGAACCATGAGTTCCAACCTTTAGGAACCGGAAGTTCTTTGCAATGGTAACCTATGGTTCCCAGGTTGGGAAGCATGAGTTCCAACCTCTGGTAACCGGCAGTTGCTTGCAATGGTAACCTCTGGTTCCCAGGTTGGGAACCAGGAGTTCCAACCTGTGGGAACCGGCAGTTCCTTGCAATGGTAACCTGTGGTTCCCACGTTGGCAACCGTGAGTTCCAACCTTTGGGAACCGGCAGTTCCTTGCCATGAACCAAACGCAAACATTCCGGTACCTGTCCATTAAGCAAAACAAAGCGTTCTGTACCGGTCCATTAAGCAAAACCATGAAGTTGTAAAGAAAATGTTTTCATATCAGTTTGACATGCACCTGTTTCGTGCAAAAATATTTTTAAGCCGGCCCATCAACCAAACGCAAACATTCCGCTACCGGTCCATTAAGCAAAACAAAAGGTTCTGTTACCGGCTCAGTAAATAAAACAAAACAACATTAAGAACCATGAGTTTTAACTTTTTGGAATCAACAGATCCTTCCACTGGTAACGTATGGTTTTTCAGGTTTGGAACCATGAGTTTCAAGCTTTGGGAACCCGCAGTTCCTTACAATGATGGCCGCTTAGCTTCGAAAACATAAATTCTAACTTCTGGGAACCGGCAATTCCTTGCAATGGTAACCTCTGGTTCCCAGGTTGGGAACCGTAAGTTTCAACGTCTGGGAACCGGCAGTTCCTTGCCATGGTAACCTTGGGTTCCCACGTTGGGAACCATCAGTTCTAACCTTTAGGAACTGGAAGTTCTTTGCAATGGTAAACTATGTTTCCCAGGTTGGGAAGCATGAGTTCCAACCTCTGGTAACCGGCAGTTGCTTGCAATGGTAACCTCTGGTTCCCAGGTTGGGAACCAGGAGTTCCAACCTGTGGGAACCGGCAGTTCCTTGCAATGGTAACCTGTGGTTCCCACGTTGGCAACCGTGAGTTCCAACCTTTGGGAACCGGCAGTTCCTTGCCATGAACCAAACGCGGTACCGGTCCATTAATCAAAACAAAGCGTTCTGTACCGGTCCATTAAGCAAAACCATGAAGTTGTAAAGAAAATGTTTTCATATCATTTTAACATACACCTTTTCGTGCAAAAACATTTTTATGCCGGCCCAGCAGCCAAACGCAAACATTCCGCTACCGGTCCATTAAGCAAACAAAAGGTTCTGTTACCGGCTCAGTAAACAAAACAAAACAACATTAAGAACCATGAGTTTTAACTTTTTGGAATCAACAGATCCTTCCACTGGTAACGTATGCTTTTTCAGGTTTGGAACCATGAGTCAAGCTTTGGGAACCCGCAGTTCCTTACAATGATAGCCGCTTAGCTTCGAAACATAAGTTCTAACCTCTGAGAACCGGCAATTCCTTGCAATGGTGACCTCTTGTTCCCAGGTTGGGAGCTGTAAGTTTCAACGTCTGGGAACCGGCAGTTCCTTGCCATGGTAACCTTTGGTTCCCACGTTGGGAACCATCAGTTCCAACCTCTAGTAACCGGCAGTTGCTTGCAATGGTAACCCATGGTTCCCAGGTTGGGAACCAGGAGTTCCAACCTCTGGGAACCGGCAGTTGCTTGCAATGGTAACCCATGGTTCCCAGGTTGGGAACCAGGAGTTCCAACCTCTGGGAACCGGCAGTTCCTTGCAATGGTAACCC